ATTCACCTATTCCTTTGCCAATACCATACCATTTTGATAGCTAGGAAAGGCTCAACTCACTATTCTTCTTTTTTATGGCTTTTGTCCTCCAAAACGTACTTCTCCATATAAAATTTAAAACATTTCACCACTTTCAAGAAAGGAAAAAAAAAAAGCAGTATTTATTTTAACAAATGATATTGGAACAAACTGGATACCCATAATTAAAAATATTAATCTCAAACTTTACTTCACAATCTACACAAAAATTAACAAAAATGGTTTGTTAACCTATAGGTAAAAGCAAAAACTGTAAAACTTCCAGAAGAAAATGTTGCAAAACTCTTCTTGACTTTGGAGCTTATGAAACCCCAATAAGGATGAGAATAAGCAAATAAACATGGAGCATCCTGTAGTGCCAGGGAGCAAGGAGCCCCTGCAAACCAAACCAAATGAAAAGCCACAGTGATGGGGGGTGACAAAAGGACACAGAGGCTAACTAAAGGAGCTCCAAGTGGTCAAAGCTGGAAACTTTGAGTAACAAAGTAATTAACTAAATAATTAATAATTAAATATTTAAGCAAAATAGGTAATGAAATAATTAGCTAAATTTTTAAATAGTTCATCCCCTGAAGTATTGGATTATAAACCAAAGTATACAATAGATGTCCATAAGTCCATACTGATATAAATAAATGATTTAATAAATAAACACATGGGGAAGAACAGGCAAATCCTCCACACAGGAGAACTCCAAATAATTGAGGTAGCTATTCCCCTGCAAGGAGATAAAGTATAACTTCCCTTTTTTAAAGTATAGACTATAAGTCGTGACTTGCAAAAAGTAGAGTAGAGAAGGAGGTGGAAAAATCACTTTATGATGGGAGAAACCTAATCAACACTGCCCCAGCCAGGTGACCAGGATTAATACCAGCAGTGATAAGCCATGTTGATGGTGTGTGCTCTAGACAGGATGGGATGGGAATGGCACTTTCCCTCTGCAATCTTCCTTACAAAAACATATAATTCTAGTCAGATCATAAGAAATACATCAGAAGAATTTTAGGAGAGGACATCCTACAATATATCTGACCAGTATTCAAAATGTCAAGGTCATCAAAAACAAGGCAAGTGTGAGAAACTGTCACAGCCAAGAGGAGCCATGGCTAATTGTAATTGTAATGTGGTACCCTGGATGGGGTCTTGGGACAGAAAAGACATGTTAGGGCAAAACCAAGGAAATCAGGACCAAACATAGACTTTAATTAATAATGATGTATTTTATTGATTAATGTATCAACAACTACTATTACCATAATAATTATGACAAATGGACTACACTGTAAGATTCTAGGAACAGGGTAAATTTAGGGCAGATGAGAGCTTTCTGTGTTTTCTCCAACTTTTCTGTGAGTCTGGAACTACTCTAAAATAAAAACACTGATTTTTAAAAATCTATTAAGCACATCATTAGTCATCAAGCAAAGGCAAGTTAGAGCCTCAATGAGACACCACTCCATAGACACCAGAGTGCCTTAGAGAAAATGAATCAACACCACCAAGAGTTGACAGGGAATGTGGAGCACCTAAAACCCTCATACATTTCAGGAAGGAATGTAAAATCCCACAATCAATTTGGAAAGCAATTTGATAATTTTTTAAAAATCTAAAAAAAGCTCTTGATATTTGACCAAAAAATTTCACTTGTAGATATTTACCCAAGTAAAATGAAAGCATATGTGTATGCAAAGTCTTGTACATGAGTGTTCTTAGCAGTTTTATTCACAATAGCCACAAACTGGAAACAACCCAATCTGTGTCTGTCAGCTGGTAGTGACTGGATAAACAAACGGTGGTTTATTTGTGGAATGGAACACCACTCAGCAATGAAAATGAATGAATTACTCACGCATTCTGTAACATAGATAGACCTCAACAACATTTTATCAAGCAAGAGAAACCCAGCAGAAAAGAGGACATACTGTATGCTTCCATTTATGTGAAATTCTAGAACAGGCAAAAATAATCTATAGAGATAAGAAGCGGATCAGTGGTTTCCTGGGTCAGAGAATGGGAGAATGAGGCTGATGGCAAAGGGACACAAGGGAACTGTCCCAGTGATGAAATTATTCTTATGTTTATTGAGGAGACGGTTACCCATGTCTGCATGTCTACATGTTTATCAAACTCACCATATTGTGTGCTTCAAATGGATGCATTTTACTATGTGTAAATTGTACCTTAATAAAGTTGAATTTTTTAAAAAACAAAAGCAACAACAAAAAATAAAAAATATTGAGAATCTAACTAGAATTGTATTATTTATACACCATTTGTTGTTGTTGTTGTTGTTGTTTGTTTTTGTTTCTTTTGTTTTCTTGTTTTGTTTTTTTTTTTTTTTTTTGAGACAAGGTGTCACTCTGTCCCAGACTGGAATACAGCCATACAATCTCGGTTCACTGCAGTCTTGATCTACCAGGCTCAAGCAAGTCTCCCATCTCAGCTTTCCTAGTGACTGGGACCACAGGCAGGCACCACCCCACAAGGGTAATTTTTTTGTTGTTTGTTTGTTTGTTTTTGTAGAGATGGGGTCTTGCTATGTAGCCCGGACTGGTCTCAAACTGAAATGATCCTCTCACCTCCATCTCCCAAAGTACTGGGATTACAGACATGAGCCACCATGCCTGGCCAGAATTTTTTAAACAACACGATGGGAGTAGAGTGTGGTGGCTTATGCCTGTAATCCCAATGATTTGGGAGGACAAGGCGGGAGAATTGCTTGAGGCCAGGAGTTTGAGATTAGCCCCAGCAACATAGCAAAACCTAAACTCCACAAAAAAATAAAAGCAAAAATAATGATAACTAGCTGGGCATGGTGGCTTGAGCCTGTGGTCCCAGCTACTCGTAAGGTTGAGCAGGAAGGCTCGCTTGAGCTCAGGAATTACAGACAAGCCTGGGCACATAGTGAAACATCATCTCTACAAAAAATACAAAAATTAGCCCAGTGTGGTGGCATGCATCTGTACTACAGCTACTTGGGAGGTTGAGACAGGAGAATCGCTTGAACCGAGCAGTTGCAGTGAGCCATGATCGCACCACTACACTCCAGCCTGGGCTGTAGAGCGAGAATCCCTCTGTCTAAAGAACAAGCATGCAAACCAACGAACTAACCCACTGTGGGTTCCCCTCCGGTGTCCTGGTGTGTTTCCGGCTGTCTTCCTCCTACCGTGTATACACTCACAGCAATAAACGCCAGTGGTGTGTGTCTCACACGCATCTCCAGCCCCATCGCCATCTCTCTGAGCTCGACTCTTTTTACAAAAGGCCACTAGACATCTTCACTTGGCAGCTCAAAAGCTCCTTCAACCCAGTGTACACAAGCCAAACTCTGTATCTTCCCATTCAGAGCAGGTTATTTAAGATCTTGCTTGTCTGAAACAACTTGATTCTACCCTCCCTGTGATATTTCTTTTTTTTGTGTCCTTATTTTTTTTTTTTTTTTTTTTTTGGAGATGGAGTCTCGCTCTGTCAGGCTGGAGTGCAGTGGCTGGATCTCAGCTCAATGCAAGTTGCCTCCCGGGTTTACAACATTCTCCTGCCTCAGTCTCCCGAGTAGCCCCGGGACCACAGGCGCCCGCCACCTCTCGGCTAGTTTTGTGTGTGTGTATTTTTTGGTAGAAACGGGGTTTTCACCGTGTTAGCCAGGATGAGTGTGATCTCCTGACTTCGTGATCCGCCGTCTTGGCCTCCCAGAGTGCTGGGATTGCTGAGGCTTGAGCCACCGCGCCCCGGCCCCTCCTGATTCTTCAGTGAAACGTTGAATGTAAGAAATTTTAGGTGGGACTGGGATTACAGGCTTGAGCCACCGCGCCCGGCCCCTCCCTGATTCTTCAGTGAAACGTTGGTTGGATATGAAATTTTAGGTGGGAAATCCACTTCCCTTGAAATTTTGAAGACATTTTCTGTTATTTTCTAGATTTAACTGCTGCTTTTGAGATGTCTGATTTTTGAGACATGTTGAATCCTAGCCCTTTGCATGTGACTTTTCCTTTCTTTCTCTTTCTCCCTCTCTCTGGAATCTTTTAGAATCTTCTCTTTGTCACCAGCACTCTGAAATTTTACAGTGATATGTCTCACTGACAATATGCCTCTAATTTTCTTACGTTTTATCCTTCTTTCCATCTTTTAGATTTTTGCTTTCTTTTCTGGGAGATCTTCTCAACTTCATTCTCAAATGTCCATGGAGATTTTTGTTTCTTCTCTCATGATTTTAATTTCAAAAAACCCTGTTGTCTCTGAGTATTCATTTTTAAAAGTATCCTATAATTAATTTATGGGTAAAATTCCTTCTATCTCTCTAGGGATATTGATAGATATTTTTGGAAAGTCTCATTTGTGGCATAAACCATTTTCTCCAAGATGGCTTATGTTAACTCCTCCAGCAAGACTTTTTGATTATATCCTTTCCAACACATGTTAAGGTGCTTGGTTGAAATAGATACTAATGTAAACTTTTCACCTTTAGTAACTCAGTTCTTGTAAGGACCTAGGGGTCAGCATGTTATTATACCAGTTTATGAAAAGGGGAACCGATGCCGAGGTACATTAAGCTGCCTGGGAATATAGCCCAGGCATTCTGGATCCAGACCCACCTCTTTTGTGACACACTTCAACACCCAACAGGTCGCTCATTAGCATCTTTCATTTTTTGGTGTTCTCTTTGTCTCTCCTACTGAAGCTGAACCTCAGTGATGGCAGGAAGCATGCCATTTTTATTTCAATTCAATTTCTCTAGGGAACTGTAGATTCATTTATTCATTAGCAAAATCGAGATCATAATATCCGACTGACGAGGTTGTTGCAAGGACTTGCAATGGAAAGCTCATGGAAAATGCTGTAGGCCCTTGGGCAGACAGAACTCCTGAGGGCTCACCTTGCAGGCCTCTCCTGACCCTCACTGTGTTCCCAGGGGCTCCCCGGAGCGCTCCCTGAACCCCTCCCCTCATCTTCCTTCCCCTAAGGCTTCCTGGGCAGCCCATGCCCACTCTCCTCACACTCTGCTTCTCTTTTTGCCTCAAGTGGGCATCCTACAGAGCCAAGCTGCTCTGTTGTGGACCCTGAAGACTCCTTAGAAGTAGATGCGCCCTCAGAGCCAGCCCAACCCTCAAAACTCATTGCTTACCTGAAACCCTTGAGACAGGAGCCCCCAATTCGCAGAGTCGGCTCCTCCTGCAGAGAGAGGTCGGCGGCGGGGAGGAAGCCCACGGGCAGGGCGAGGCCGTGGTAGAGGGCATGGGCCCCGCAGGGAAGCTGGCCAGAGACAGGGGGCAGAACGCTCGCTGGGACCAGACATGCACATCCAATTGCACCACCATGGAGAGCCAGGCCACCAGGGAGAACCGGAAATCAGGCAGACCTCAGCCTTCTCTTTTCCTGGAATAGCTCCTGTGCCTAGAACTGTGGAAGGCCCAGGACCCGAAGTAGCCCAGCCTGAGGTGGGGCATCAGGAGCCACCCCCTGTCTTTGGCCCTGAGGCTGTTGCCTGGGAACCCATGTTGATCCTCTATCCCTGCATCAGGCTTAGGACTCTGGGTGGCTCAGATGTTTTACAGGTCATTCAAACTCCCAGTGACACCTATGTGCAAGGGGTCCCAGTGTTCATCACCGACATTGCATATTGACATTTATCTGTCACCCACATTGTTCCCAGCCTCCCTTTCTTCCACCTGGACTTTCCCCCACCCCCAAACTCCAGCCCCACTTCAGCTCCACTCCTCCCCTTGGGAACCCTCACTTTGTGTTGTCAGGATGGAGCCTCTATGCACTCCTCCCAGGACCTTGACAGTAGTCCATCTGCTTCCAATGCCCCTCTGGTCCTTGCTTTGTACTTTCTGTCAAAGTTGCACATGCATGGAGTTCCTCAATGCTTTTTAAAATAAGCCAGCAGTTCCCCTAATTTTACTGTGCTTATATTAAAAGCCAATAGAGATACTTGGGATGAAAAACAAGGTTGTCGGAATCCAAAGTTATGTTGATGGTTTGAATCACAGAATATATAGGACTGAGGAAAATATCAGTAAAAACTAGATGTTTAGGCAAGAGAGAGATGGACAGTGCGACAGAACAATCATCCTGAGGACCAGAGGTCATCTAACATGGAGCTCTCCCGGGAGAACCAGAACATTTGTATGACAGCAAAATACAAGGAAATCGTGGCTAATGATTTCTCCCACTGGAAGAAATATATGAATCCTGAGCAGGATACAAGAAGAACAGCCATTGAGAGTATGAAGTATGGTGAAGAGAACATTCCAAAAGCTGCCTGAGAGCTGAGACCTACAAGGAAAGTAGAACCAGGGTGATGTTAGACTTTGCCTGGCAGCATGGATGACTGTGGAAAGCAATGGTGCAATATCCTCACAGCTTCGAGGGGGAAATGACTCTGAATCTAGTGTTCTATAAGCAATCAAAGAAATTGTTGGAGACCATCCTGGCTAACACGGTGAAAGCCCCTCTCTACTAAAAAATACAAAAAACTAGCCGGGCGACGTGGCCGCGCCTGTAGTCCCAGCTACTCGGGAGGCTGAGGCAGGAGAATGGAGTAAACCCGGGAGGCGGAGCTTGCAGTGAGCTGAGATCCGGCCACTGCACTCCAGCCTGGGCGACAGAGCGAGACTCCGTCTCAAAAAAAAAAAAAAAAAAAAAAAAAAGAAAAAGAAAAAAGAAATTGTTGGAGAGAGAAGGAGGCAGGCAGTGTCAGCTAAAGGGCAAGGCCACATGAAGGGAGAAACGGCATACAGAAAAAGGAGAAAAAGGCAGAATCCTACTCAGACTGGACCTGAAGCCTGTGCTTCCCCTGAACTTAGAGTACACAACTTATAATGTGCAAGCTGCTAAACTCCCTTATTGTACAAGGTGATTTGAAAGGAGCTGTTATGCACAGTGAAAGTATAAGTCGTGTTTTTCAGCCAGGAAAAAGCCAAACCAGACAACCTGGAAGAAGTGGGATGCAACAAGAGTCAGTAAGCAAGGGAATTAGGAAACTATATTATTAAGTCTAGATAACTATGATTCTGGAAGAAACATGGATGGCCTAGAATTAAAATCCCAGAAGACTTTAACATAGACATGTGGGGCATGGGAAAATTCAGAAGGAGCTAGAAGTTACTGAAGTTCTTGTCTAGAGCCTGGAAATGATATAGTGGCTGAATATAAGAGCAATGAAACTCTAGACTCTGACACATTTTTAAGTCTCAATGTAGGTATCCATTGGGAACCACTAAATGAATTGGAATAGAATGTAAAATTTCAAACAGATTGAGGAAAAAGGGGATCAAAGAATATTTGATGAATCAAACAAAAGGTGTGTGTGGGGGGGGGTTGGGTTTAACAGAAACAAGGAGAGTGCATGACTCACTGAAAATGCTAAATAAGGAATCAGTAAATTGATGGCAGTGCTCTTGGCTTCTTCCTGGCTTTAAGGAGAATATTTTAAATGTTTCACCATTAACCAAGATGTTTGCTGCAAGTTTCTCATAGATGTTTAAGTTGAGGTAGTTCCCATCTTTTCAAGTTTGATAAAAGGCGTATTGTGAATTGGATTTTGTATTTTATTAAGTAGGGTTTTATTAGCTGCTTTTCACTCATTTGTAAAATGTCTAAGTAAAATAAAGATAACCTTTTACATCAATAATTTTTTTCTTGTGTATTCAATCCTTTTAAATAAACTCTTCTGTTAGGCTTATTTTATACTACAGTCCTTTTACTAAAATTTCACAAATTCCAAATATAAAATGTGTTTACCGAAACCAGAAAAAGGGTAGAAAAATAATGTCTACCGTCTCTGTTCTCCATTCCTATTGTATCTTTCCCCAGAATCACACAATCTATACAAACAAAAGTGTACATTAAGAGCATCATTTGTGCCTTGATTTTACAAACACTTGGCATGCCATCTGCCAGGGGTCATGTTGAAGTGGCTTTAGGGTCCAGGCAGGTAATGCAGGTGTGGTCAGGACCAACACCTCTGTGGAGACCATGCCTCTCCAAAAAAGGCATAGGCGACTCCGTATTGAACCATGGCATGGATCACAGTGAGCACTGTGCAGTGGGAGCTGCTTCTTGGCTTGCAACTGGGGTCTGTCACCCCAAAGCCAAAGAACTTTTGCAGTCATCCTAAACACATGTGCCACTATCTTCTTGCTGTACATCTGTCTGAAAGAGGGACAGGCTTTAGGTTGTGCAGGTGATGGTCTGCTGATAGGCTGCTTCCAGGATGTTTCTACCACCAGAATACTTCATTGAACATTTGTACATGGAGTAAGACAGGGTCTCATTCAGTCACCCAGGCTGGAGTGCAATGGTGCAGCTCACTGCAGCCTGTACCTCCTGAGCTCAGGCGGTCTTCCCACATCAGCCTGCTAAGTAGCTGGTACTATAGGCAGGGACCAAGACCCTTTGGTCATTTCTCATGGTTTATTTATTTATTTATTTATTTATTTATTTAGAAACAGCGTCTCATTCTTTCACCCAGGTTGGAGTGCAGCGGCTTCAGCTTACTGAAACCTCTGCTCCCCTGGTTGCAGTGATTCTCATGCCTCAGCCTCCCAAGTAGCTGAGACCACAGTCTTGTGCCACCACGCCTGGCTTAATCTGTATTTTTAGTGGAGACTAATAATGCCCAACCCGTTTAAAGCCATTTAGGTTGTACCTTTTTCCTCTAATTCATCTTTTCATACAATGCAGCCTCAGACAAACCTCTTCTTTCAGAATAGTTGTTCCACCAGAATTTCCATAGAATTGGTATTATTTCTTCAATGAATATTTGGTAGAATTAACCAGTAAAGCCATGCCTGTGGCAGTGTTCTCTTTTGGAAGATTACATAATACTATATTACTTCATATATAGTGTAAGGACTACAAGGATAGGCTTTCAGTTCCTCTCTCCTTGCGGCTTTGGTTGTTATAGATTTTATTTTTCCTATGATCTAAAACCCACTATATATTACTTACTGTATTTGCTTTAGACAATTATCTTACATACTAATGTTGGGAGGATTGAATGCATGAAGATGTGAAAAGTACTGAAAACAATGCTTAGCACAGGGCAGTGTCCAAGAGATGTCAGCTATTGTTAGCTGATATATGCTTCTGATCTATTTTCATCAACTAATTCACCTATTCTTTTGCCAATACCATACCATTTTGATAACTGGAAAAGGCTCAAATCACTATTCTTTTTTATGGCTTTTATTCCCCTAAAAATTAATTCTCCATATAAAATTTAAAACATTTAAACCACTTTCAAGAAAGAAAAAAAAAGCAGCTTTCATTTTAACAAATGATGTTGAAACAAATTGGATACCCATAACTAAAAATATAAATGTCAACCTTTACTTCACAATCTACAAAAAAATTAACAAAAATGATTTGTTAACCTATAGGTAAAAGCAAAAACTATAAAACTTCTAGAAGAAAATATTGCAAAATTCTTCATGACTTTGGAGTAGGCAAAGATTCCTTAGATGAGACACAAAAAACATGAATTGTAAAATAAAGCATTGATGCATTTTACGCAATGGGCACTGTGATTTGCCACCAGACCCTTCTTCAGAAATAAAAGATTTGTGATCTCTAGCTGTGAGAATTGCCACCACTAGACAGTCCTCAGATCTTGCAGATGGTTGCTAAGAGACTGTCTTGGCTGAAGACACTACCCGTCCTTACCCACAGGCACACCCATTCACCAGCAAGCTTGCATCCAATGATGTTCACTGGGGACATTAAAGCCTGTTGCCACAACTCAGAACAGTTCTAGTAGGTCACTTTACCATCAGAACATCCCATGGGGTCCGGGGAGGCACAGTATTGAGAATGTGTGGTACTGTTTCTTTCCCTCCCACATCCCTAAAAGGCACACCTCATACTCTAATTTCCATCGCAGTGTTGGTTTCCTGGGAATTCCAGCTTGAGACACTGGGCTTATTAAAATTAAAATCTGTTCTTTGAAGAAAATGAAAAGGCAAGCCATAAACAGGTAAAATACATTCACAATACATATATTAATCAAAGACCTGTATCTATAACGCACAAAGAACTCTTACAACTCAATAATCGAAAGTCAACCCAATAAGGGCCAGACACAGTGGCTCACGTCTATAATCTCAGCATTTTGGGAGGCCAAGGTGGGCAGATCGCCTGAGGTCAGGAGTTTGAGACGAGCCTGACCAACATGGCAAAATCCTATCTCTAGTAAAAATATAAAAGTTAGCCAGGCATGGTGGTGGGCTCCTGTAGTCTCGGCTACTCAGGAGGCTGAGGCAGGAGAATTGTTTGAACCCAGGAGGCAGAGGTTGCAGTGAGCCAAGATTGCACCATTGCAGTGACCCAAGATAGTGCTATTGAACTCCAGCCCGGGTGACAAGAGCAAAACTTTGACTCAAATAAAAAAAAAAAAAGGTGAACTCAATAAAAAAAGTAAAAGTTTAGAACAGAAACTTCATAAAAGTATCTATGGGTGTGGTCAGTGGGCACATGAAACTCCAATAAGGATGACAATATGCAAATAAACATGGAGCATCCTGTGGTGCCAAGGATCAAGGAGCAGCCTGAAATGAAACCAAACCAAAAGCCACAGTGATGGGGGGTGACAAAAGGACACAGAGGTCTACTAAAGGAGCTCCCAATGGCCAAAGCTGGAAACTTTGAGTAACAAAATAATTAACTAAATATTTAAGTAAAATATTTGACAAAATAATTAGTTAAATTATTAAATAATTCATCCCCTGAAGTATTGGATTATAAACCAAAGTATACAATAGATGTCCATAAGTCCATGCTGATATAAATAAATGATTAAATAAATAAACACATGGGGAAGATTAGGAAAATCCTCCACATGGGAGAACTCCAAATAATTTAGGTAGCTATTCCCCTGCAACGAGATAAAGCATAACTTCCCTTTTTAAAAGTATAGACTATTGGTAGTACTTCCAAAAAGTACAGTAGAGAAGGAGGTGGGAAAATCACTTTACGGTGGAGAAAACTAATCAACACTACCCCAACCAGGTGACAGGGACTAATACCAGCAGTGATAAGCCATGTTGATGGTGTGTGTTCTAGACAGGATGGGATGGGAACGGCACTTTCCCTCTGCAATCTTCCTTACAAAAATGTAGAATTCCAGTAAGATCATAAGGAATACATCAGACAAATTCCAGGAGAGGACATCCTACAATATATCTGACCAGTATTCAAAGTGTCAAGGCCATCAAAAACAAGGCAAGTGTGAGAAACTGTTGCAGCCAAGAGGAGCCATCACTAATTGTAAATTGGTACCCTGGATGGGGTCGTGGGACAGAACAGGTATGTTAAGTCACACTCAAGGAAATCAGGACCAAATATAGACTTTAGTCCCTAATGATGTATTATATTGATTAATGTATCAGCAATTACTATTACCATAATAATTATGACAGATGTACCACACCGTAAGATTCTAGGAACAGGGTAAATTTAGGGCAGATGAGGACTTTCTATGTTTTCTCCAACTTTTCTGTGAGTCTGAAACTATTCTAAAAAAAACAAAAACAGTTTAAAAAATCTATTAAGCACATCATTACTCATCAAGGAAAGGCAAGTTAGAACCTCAATGAAACACCACTCCATAGACCCTAGAGTGGCTTAGAGAAAGACAATCAGAAAGATTTTTCTTTTTTCTCTTTTTTTTTTTTTTTTTTTTGGTAGAGATGGGGTCTTGTTATGTAGCCAGCGCTGGTCTCATACTCCTGTGCTGAAGTGATCGTCTCACCTTCATCTCCCAAAGTTCTGGGATTACAGACATGAGTCACCATGCCTGGCCAGAATTTTTTAAACAGCACTATGGCAGCAGGGTGTGGTGGCTTATGCCTGTAATCCCAGGGATTTGGGAGGCCGAGGCGGGAGGATTTCTTGAAGCCAGGAGTTTGAGATTAGCTCGAGCAACATAGTAAAACCTAAACTCTACAAAAAATAAAAACAAAAATTATTATAATTAGCCGGGCATGGTGGCTTATGCCTGTGGTCCCAGCTACTTGTGAGGTTGAGCGGGAAGGATCGCTTGAGCTCAGGATAAGCCTGGCACATACCTAAACCTAATCTCTACAAAAAATACAGAAATTATCCTGGTGTGGTGGCGCGCATCTGTAGTCCAGCTACTCCGGAGACTGAGACAGGAGAATCACTTCAACCGATTCTGCTGTTTCCACCTCCCAAGTAGCCGCAGTGAGCCGAGATCACGCCACTGCACTCCAGGCTGGGCTACAGAGCAAGAACCCGTCTCTCTAAAAAACAAGCATGCAAACCAACCAACTAATCCACTGTGGTATCCACTGTGGTTTCCCCTCCAGCGTGCAGGTGTGTTTCCTGCTGTCTTCCTCAGCCCGTGTGTGCACCCACAGCAATAAATGCCAGTGGTGTGTGTCTCACACCCATCTCCAGTCCCATCGCCATCTCTCTGAGCTCGACTCTTTTTACAAAAGGCCACTTGACATCCTCATTTGGCAGCTCAAAAGCTCCTTCAACCCAATGTGCACAAGCCAAGCTCTATATCTTCCCATTCAGAGTAGGTTCTTCGTCCACCTCTGTCTGAATGAACCAGCTGCCAAGACTGCAATCTCTTCTCCAAGGGCTGTCCACACTCGGTCTCGCATTTTCTTGTAAATTTCTCTCTCACCAAGGAAGTTTCTCCTTCTATGCCTCCCACAGTCCTAGTCTAATAGAACCTTGTGCCCAACCCCGAGGGCTGCAATAGCCTTTGGGCCTCTCCTGGGTTATTCTGTGCACCTGGGGTTGGCTCTCCTTCACAGCCAGGCTGGTCGTTTTGGAAATGTTAACTCACTGCAGGACACCGTTCCATGGTTTTTTGCTGCCTTGGAACAAGACCAGCTCCTGCATGGCCCCTGCCTCCACCTGACACCACCTCTGGGTCTGGCCCTGACCTCCCCTCCATTTCCAAAATGGGCCGGGCTCCCTTCCAGTCCGGGTCTCAGCACGCTTTTTTCACTCCACTGCCTCTCTCCCTGCTTCTCCCAACCCGGTTCAGGTTGACTAATTTTATATTCCAGATTTCAGCCCAAATTTCCCCCTTTGGATGCTTTCCTTGACCATGCTCAGATCTAATCTAATCACATCTTCCCATTAGCCAGTTTCAGGGCACCACACCTCCCTTTTGGTGGCACTTAAATGTAATTACGCATTTTTTTTCTCAATGATTAGATTAATCAATCAACCATTGGCTCTGTAAATGGCGGCATGTCTGCAGGGCCCCATTTGACAGGCAGGTGACTGGACCAATGTAAATTCCAAGCCCAGCCAGGCCCGCCCCAGCTGGCCACGCTCTGACCACGCCTTACGTGATTGCCTAGCTGCCATATAAGAGCGACCGCTGGGCCTCGAGCAGTCGGCTTTCTGCTGGGCTCCGAGCCAGAACCTGCTGCGTGCTCCCTCCTGCCTGCCTGCCTGCCTGCCTGCCTGCCTGCCTGCCTGCCTGCCTGCCTAGGGGAGGACGAGTTCAGAGCTACAGCCGTGAGCCTGTTGACACCTCCAGTTCCTTTGGCCTCTCTTCGTCGAAGTCTCCTAATTTTAAGATCTCGGAGGCAAGCTGTAGGAAGGTCAGGTGTGTGTGTGGGTGTCCCTGAGGGGTGAATAGGGCTTAGATGGGTGCAGTTGGGGACAGAGTCCTCATTCCCCTAGAAAGGCCATGGCCACACCCTGCCTTCTTACCCCTGTCTTCCTAAATCCGTTCTCTGTCCCCACCTTCCTTCCTTCTTCCCCTGAGGAGGAAGCATTCCTCCAAAAGGCCTACTTTAGGCTCCCCTCTCCTAGCTTTGCCTGTAGGAACTGGGATAAATTGAACCTCCTGTAGGCCAATCCCTGCTAGCTACTAGCGTCCCCTTGGAAACACATTTAAGGTGTGGAAGTCTCCCACAACCACAGCCCCCGACCCCAGTCCCCACCTTCATACGGTCTTGGGTGGCACCGTGGGCTCGGTCGGTGCCCAAGTAGCCAAGAGCTCGGAGGCCTGTGGGCATTGGAGGCCCTGGAGGAGGTTGTGTGGTGGAGGTCTGCGTCGCTGCCTGGCGCTCAGGAAATGAGGCTGTGGTTTAACTCTACTGATGCGTTTTTCTCCCCACCCCCGCCCCGCAGATTCCTCATGGAGGAACCAAGGCGTTCAAAGCGACTGCGCTACATGGCCCCTAATCAAGGTACATCAAACGTCTGCCACCCTCTTTTTAATTTTTTTCTGGGTTTTTATTGACTTACAGAACTTAGAGAGGCAAATGTGGCATGCTATGAAATGCAGCAGCTCCTGCTCCTTCTCAGTCTCCCACACCTTTGGGAACACCACCTCCATCTGTGTAGCCAATTCTTTCAGCATTCTCTCTCATTCTTTAAATAACATGCCTACACTACTGCTATTTCTTTTTTCATTTAGAGTTTAATTATGGTCTTTCCTCTAGGGTGGAGGGATATTTAGCTGTAGTTTACACATTGCCAACACCACCACTAATTACCCAAGTGTCATGCCACACATACCCCAGGACACACACCCTCTGTCCCTCCCCCACAGCCCAGAAGGGAAGAGAATATTAGGAGGATTACTGTCCACTTCTTGCATAACTTGAATTTTCCAGAACTTAATACTTACCTTGTGTTACTATGGGCTTACTTATCACTAGTTCATTCTCCAATTCTTACCCAATTGTTTAAATTCAAACTCAATCAAGTGTTCTCTGTTTTCACCTTCTCACAGCCTGCTTCAACCTGGGCTGTTCGCTGTAAGTCAGCTCCCAGCTTCCACATCATCTGGGAAATTACTTTCCCTTTTTATTATTGTATCCCATTTCCCAAATCTGGTGTCTTTTTTTTTCCTGTTGTACTGTTTCTCTGTAGTGGAGCAAGCCCTAACACTACATCTTCATCTATGATAGATCTGTACTTCCACCTTGTTCTTTTCTGTAGAAATTGGAATTTTATGGCTATTGCCACATTCTTCTCCGTCATACACTGAGTGTCCTAAATCTTTTAATCTTGTCTAGTTTGATAGATGCAAAACAATAAAGCATCCATTGAAAGGAAATTATTTAAGAACTTGCTTGTCTGAAACATGTTCATTCTATCCTCCCTGATTCTTAAGTGAAACTTTGGTTGGATATGAAATTTTAGGTGGGAAATCCATTTCCCTTGAAATTTCGAGGACATTTTCTGTTATTTTCTAGATTTAACTGCTGCTTTTGAGATGTCTGATTTTTGAGACATGTTGAATCCTAGCCCTTTGCATGTGACCTTTCCTTTCTTGCTCTTTCTCCCTCTCTCTGGAATCTTTTAGAATCTTCTCTTTGTCATCAGCACTCTGAAATTTTATGGTGATATGTCTCAGTGACAATATGTCTCTAATTTTCTTATATTTTATCCTTCTTTCCATCATTTTTGATTTTTGCTTTCTTTTCTGAGAGATCTTCTCAACTTCATTCTCAAATTTCCGTGGAAATTTTTGTTTCTTCTCTCATAATTGTAATTTCAAAAGCCCTATTTTCTCTGAGTATTTATTTTTTTAAGTATCCTATAATTAATTTATGGGTAAAATTCCTTCTCTCTCTCTAGGGATATTAATTATAGATATTTTTAGAAAGTCTCATTTGTGGCATAAACTATTTTCTCCCAGTTGGCTTTTCCTGTGTTATTGTTCTGTCTCTAGTATTAGAGCCTTACCTCTGATGTTTGGTGATCTCTGTTTTTTGTTTATGTTTTAAATAAAATCGGACCCAGGAAGAAGCTGATGCCAGCTCCAAGCCCATGGGTAGGGCTAGCTGATTGAGTTCCACAGCATTCATATGTTTGGGCTTTCAAATTGGGCAATAAGAGGGTGGGTATGGTGGCTCATGCCTGTAATCCCAGCACTTTGGGAGGCCGAGGGGGGCAGATCACTTGAAGTTAGGAGTTCAAAACCAGCCTGTCCAACATGGCGAAACCCTGTCTCTATTAAAAAAACAAAAAAAAAGCCAGGCATGGTGGTGGATGCCTGTAATCCCAGCTATTTGGGAGGCTGAGGCAGAAGAATCACCTGAACCCAGGGTGACAGAGGTTGCAGTGAGCCGAGATGGGGCCACTGCACTCCAGCCTGGGCAACAGAGTGAGACTCCATCTCAAAAAAGGAAAAAAAAAAAAAGGGCAACACCAGATGTGAGTTGCGTGGGACTCTTCCTAAGCAGGTTTCCCAGGGAAGAATCTTTACATGATCTTAAATGCCTACTCTTTCACTGATAAAATTTCTATAGAAATTTGTCTAGTCCCAGGCCTCCCATTCTGTTCCATTGCTCAATGCTGTATCTGCCTGAACACCTCCCCTCCCGGCTAAGCTATCCTATAGCCACCATAGGCTTTTTTCCTCCTGGGAGCCATGCAACTACCCCATGCCCCTCTGTCACCTGTAATCCTCTTCCTCCCTGCTATCCCTACTAATCCTCTCCTGCCTTTGCCTTGCAAATCCCACCCATCATCCTTGATGACCCAGCTTATGTCATCTCCTCCAGCAAGACTTTTTGATCATCTCCTTCTCAATACATGTTAAGGTGCTTGCTTGAACTAGATACTAATGTAAGCATATCACTTATAGTAACTCAGTTCTTGTAAGGACCTAGGGGTTGGCATGGTATTATACCAGTTTATGAAAAGGGGAACCGATGCCCAGGTAAATTAAGCTGCCTGGGAATACAGCCCAGGCATTCTGGATCTAGAACCACCTCCCTTGTGACACCCTTCACCTCCTAACTGGTCGCTCATTAGCATCATTCATTTTTTGGTGTTCTGTTTGTCTCTCCTACTGAAGTTGAACCTCAGTGAAGGCAGGAAGCATGCCATTTTTATTCCAATTAGATCTCTCTAGGGAACTGTAGACTTATTTATTCATTAGCAAAATGGAGATCATAATATTCGACTGACAAAGTTGTTGCAAGGACTTGCAATGGAAAGCTCATGGAAAGCGCTGTAGGCCCCTGGGCAGACAGAACTCCTGAGGGCTCACCTTGCAGGCCTCTCCTGACCCTCATTCTGTTCGCTGGTGTTCCCATGGGCCCTCCCTGAACCCCTCACCTCATCTCCCTTCCCTGAAGGCTTCCTGGGCAGCCCATATTCAATCTCCTTACACTCTACTTCTCTTTTTGCCTCAGGTGGGCGTCCTACAGAACCATTCTGCTCTGTTGTGGACCCCGAAGACTCCGTGGAAGTCCAGTCCACGGAGAGCCACGCAGAGCCAGTCCAACCTGCAAAACCCATTGCTTACGTGAAACCCTTGAGATGGGAGCCCCCAGCTCGCACAGAGTCGGCTCCTCCTGCAGAGAGAGGCCGGCGGCGGGGAGGAAGCCGGCTGGCAGGGCGAGGCCGTGGCAGAGTGAGTGGGCCCCGCAGGGACGCTGGCCAGAGACAGCGGGCAGAACGCTTGCTGGGACCAGACATGCACATCCAACTGCACCACCATGGAGAGCCAGGCCACCAGGGGGAACCAGAAATCAGGCAGACCTCAGCCTTCTCTTTTCCTGAAACAGCTCCTGTCCCTGGAACTGTGCAGGAAGGCCCTGGCCCTGATGTGGCCCATCCTGAGGTGAGGCATCAGGATCCACTCCCTGCCTCTGGCCCTGAAGCTAATGCCTGGGAGCCCATGTTGACGATCTATCCCTGCATCGGGTTTAGGGCTCTGGGTGGCTCAGCTGTTTTACAGGTCATTCAAACCGCCAATGGGACCTATGTTCAAGGGATCCCAGTGTTCGTCGCCAACATTGCATACTGACGTCTATCTGTCACCCACATTGTTCTCAGCCTCCCTTTCTTCCACCTGGACTTCCCCCCAGCCCCAAATCCAGCCCCATTTCTGCTCCACTTCTCCCCTCCCATCCCAACCGAAGCCCTCACCTTGTGTTGTCAGGATGGAGCCTCCACGCCCTCCTCCCAGGGTCCTGACAATAGTCCACCTGCTTCCAATGCCCCTCTTGTCCCTGCTTTGTACCTTCTGTCAAAGTTACACATGCATGGAGTTCCTCAATGCTTGGTAAAACAGGCCAGCAGCTCCCCTAATCTTACTGTGCTTATATTAAATGCCAATTAGAGATACTTGGGATGAAAAACAAGGTTGTTGGAATCCAAAGTTATGTTGATGGTTTGAATCACAGAATAGATAGGACTGAGGAACAAATCTGTAAAAACTGGATGTTTATTCAAGAGAGAGATGGACAGTGCGACAGAACAGTCATCCTGACGACCAGAGGTCATCTAACATGGAGCTCTCCCAGGAGAGCCAGAACATTTGTATGACAGCAAAATACAAGGAAATCATGGCTAATGATTTCTCCCACTGGAAGAAATATATGAATCCTGAGCAGGATACAAGAAGAACACCCATTGAGAGTATGAGGTATGGTGAAGAGAACATTCCAAAAGCTGCCTGAGAGCTGAGACCTACAAGGAAAGCAGAATTTAGGGTGACGATAGACTTTGCCTCGCAGCATGGATGACTATGGAAAGCAATGGTGCAATATCCTCACAGCTTCGAGAGGAAAATCACTCTGAATCTAGTGTTCTATGAGCAATCAAAGAAATTGTTAGGGAGAGAAAGCGCCAGGCGGTGTCAGCTCAAGGGCAAGGCCACTTGAAGGGAGAAATGGCATACAGAATAAGGCAGAATCCTACTCAGACTGGACCTGAAGTCTGAGTCTCCCCTGAACTTAGAGTACACAACTTATAATGTACAAGCTGCTAAACCCCCTTTCTGTAATAGGTGATTTGAATGGACTTGTTACGTACAGTGAAAGTATACATCATGTGTTTTAGCCAGTAAAAAGCCAAACCAGACATCCTGGAAGAAGTGGGATGCAACAAGAGTCTTTAGGCAAGGAAATTAGGAAACTGTATTATTAAGTCTAGATAAGCATGATTCTGGAAGAAACATGGATGACCTGGAAGTAAAATTCCAGAAGACTTTGACATAGACATGGGGGGCATGAGAAAATTCAGAAGGAGCTAGAAGTTACTGAAGTTCTTATCTAGCGCCTGGAAATGATATAGTGGCTGAATATAAGAGCAATGAAACTCTAGACTCTGACACATTTTTAAGTCTCAATGTGGGTAACCACTGGGAACCACTACATGAATTGGAATAGAATCTAAAATTCCAAACAGATTGAGGAAAAACGAGATCAAAGAATATTTGATGAATCAAACAGAGGTGTGTGTGGGGGGGAGGGGGGTTGATAGAAACAAGGAGAGTGCATGACTCACTGAAAATGCTAAATAAGGAATCAGTAATTTGATGGCAGTGTCTTTGGCTTCCTCCTTGCCTTAATGGGAATATTTTAAATGTTTCACCATTAACCAAGATGTTTCCCGTCAGTTTCTCATTGATGTTTAAGTTGAGGTAGTTCCCATCTTTTCAGAGTTTGATAAAAGGTGTATTATGAATTGGATTTTGTATTTTATTAAGTATGCCTTTATTAGCTGATTTTCACTCATTTGTAAATGTCCAAGTAAAATAAAGATAACTTTTTACATCAAAGATTTTCTTCTTGTGTATTCTATCCTTTTAAATAAACCCTTCTGTTAGACTTATTTTATACTATAGTTCTTTTACTAAAAGTTTGCAAATTACAAATATAAAATGTGTTTACTAAAACTACAAAAAAGGTGGAAATATAATGTCTACTGTCTCTGTTCTGCGTTCCTATTGTATCTTCCCCAGAATCACACAATCTATACAAACAAAAGTGTACATTAAGAGCATCGTTTGTGCCTTGATTTTACAAACACTTGGCATGCCATCTGCCAGGGGTCATGCTGAAGTGACTGAAGGGTCCAGGCAGGTAATGCAGTTGTGGTCAGGACCAGCACCTCTGTGGAGACCATGCCTCTCCAAAAAAGGCATAGGCGACTTCGTATTGAAGCATGGCATGGATCACAATGAGCACTGTGCAGTGGGAGCTGCTTCTTGGTGTCTGTCATCCATAAGCCAGAAAGGACCCTCACAGGCATCCTACACACATGTGCCACTATTCTTGCTGTATATCTGTCTGAAAGATGCACAAGCTTTAGGTTGTGCAGGTGATGGTCTGCTGATAGGCTGCTTCCAGGATGTTTCTACCACCAAAATGCTTCATTAAACATTTGTACGTGGAGTAAGACAGGGTCTCATTCAGTTACCCAGGCTGGAGTGCAGTGGTGCAATCATAGGTCGCTGCATCCTGTACCTCCTGAGCTCAGGCAGTCTTCCCACATCATCCTACTAAGTAGCTGGGACTACAGGCAGGCACCAAGACCTCGTGGTAATTTCTCTTGGTTTATATATGTATGTATTTATTTTGAAACAGAGTTTCAATCTTTCACCCAGGCTGGAGTGCAGTGGCTTCAGCCCACTGAAACCTCTGCTCCCCAGGTTGAAGTGATTCTTGTTCCTCAGCCTCCCAAGTAGCTGGGACCAGAGTCCTGTGCCACCATGCCTGACTAATTTTGTATTTTTAGTAAAGACGGAGTTTCACCATGTTGGCCAGACTGGTGTCAAACTCCTGACCTCAACTGATCCGCCCACCTCAGCCTCCTAAAGTGCTGGAATTACAGGCATGAGTCAACACACCCAGTCAATTGAGGTTTTGTTATGTTGTGCAGGCTGGTCTTGAACTCGTGAGCTCAAGCCATCTGCCCACCTTGGCCTCCTGAAGTGCTGGGATTATAGGTGTGAACCACCACACCTGGCCTTTTTTGTAAAAGAACTTTGTGAAATAAATTCTCAAAGTGAGACTCCTACACCAATTGATATGGCCATATTTTATTTTATTTATTTACTCTTAATTTAATATTTAAGTTAAATTAGGATCCAGCGTGTGTTGTTCCCCTCTATGTGTCCATGTGTGTTCACTGTTTAACTCCCACTTGTCAGTGACAGCATTGTGGTATTTGGTGTTCTGTTTCCGTGTTAGTTTGTTAAGGATAGGGGCCTCCAGCTCCATCTGTGTTCCTGCAAAGCACATGATCTTCTTCTTGTCATGTCTATGTAGTATTTCACACTGTATACATTGATGGGTATTTCAGTTGATTTCATGTCTTTGCCATTGTGAATAGTGCTGCAATGAACATACTCATGCATGTGTCTTTATAATTGATTTATATCCCTTTGGGTATATACCCAATAATGGGATTGTCGGGTGGAGCCATATTCTATTTTAATAGATACTAAGAAATTGTATTCAGATTAGGTGGCATCAACACCAATTCCAACAAGCAGTGATAAGGGCACCTCTTTTCCCCACTGTCTCCCCAGCAATAAATGTTGGGACGCTGTAAATTTTTTCCAGTCTCTTGGATAAAAATGTTATCTCATTGTTGCTCTAATTTGAGTTTTCTCCTACTAATAAGATTCAGTATCTTTTTGTGGATTTATTGGACACTGTTATAATCTTTTTCTGTTAATTGCTAATATATCATTTTTGCACAGTTTTTCTGTTGGAATGTATATCTTCTGCTTATCAGTTTGTAGGAACGCATGTGAAAAGTGCATAAGTTCTGCAAGTGTTTTCCTCATTCCAGCCTTTCTCTTTTGGCTTGGCGTGGGCTGTGTGTGGCCTGCCTGTGTGGCCAGCCTCAGTTCATACCAGACTCCTTCCTTTGGCCCTGCCCTGTAGGTTGGTTTTCAGATTCCTGGCCTGGGCTCTGCTTCTTCCACATGAGAGCCAGAGGGCATGTCTGCCATACAGGTGGGCCACCTTGCACAGCAGTGTGGGAAATGATTTTCTAGTCATTTCAAGATCACCCTCAGTCATTTCATGATTTGATCATAGTTTATGATACACTTGGCCAATTCACGACTTCACTGCTAGCTCAGTGCTCCTGCGCTCCTTTTTCTTTGGTGGGGGGTCATCCACATTCTTGGAAGCGCTTGCCAAGATGCAGGCAACAGGAAGCTCTTCCTGTCCTAGGAAGATATTGGCCGTCTAGATCCACTGCTGAGAGATCTTTCTCCTTCTATTCATGTCACACTGTGTCCTCTGATCTTCTTCCAGATGACTCGAGTCTTTCCAGAAGTACTTAGATGACCCTCCGGCCCTCAGGTTCATGGGGACCCCCTGTCTGCTTCAGGCCCCTTTTCCAACATGCCCCCCAAATCCATGCCCCCCAAATCCCCCCCCCCTTTTTTTTTTTTTTTTTTTTGAGACGGAGTCTAGCTCTGTCGCCCGGGCAGGAGTGCAGTGGCCGGATCTCAGCTCACTGCAAGCTCCGCCTCTCGGGTTCAGGCCATTCTCCCGCCTCAGCTTCCCGAGTAGCTGGGACTACAGGCGCCTGCCATCTCGCCCGGCTAGTTTTTTTGTATTTTTTTAGTAGAGACAGGGTTTCACCGGGTTAGCCAGGATGGTCTCGATCTCCTGACCTCGTGATCCGCCCGTCTCGGCCTCCCAAAGTGCTGGGATTACAGGCTTGAGCCACCGCGCCCGGCCAAATCCTCCACTCTTTACTCACAGATGGCAGGATTCTAGCTCACGATCCATTGTTCTGCTTTTCTTTGCTCTGTCGTTTCCCTCCCAGTTCCACCCACTCTGGGCTGGAGGGGAAAATCCCACGCCCCTCTCAAGAGCCTCTGTCCACCTCCAACACTTCAACTCTTTCCCTGACTCCCTTCCTCCCTGTAGCTCACAGGATCTCACTGTGTCCTGCAAGTGGGGGACTACTGCCCAGATGGTCAAAGATCTTTTTATGCCTATTCTCTGTAGCAAAACTTTCTCCCCAGAATGTGCTTTGGGACTTTGGATTCTGATAATCAAAAACTAGGATTTTAAGACTCAATTTTTTTTTTCAACTATTTGATTTCAAGAATATATTTTGAAAGTGTTTTTAAAAACTACATACCCAAGCAGCACAGAATTATTTCATTATTTTTGAATTTAAAGTGGTGTC